AGGGTTGAAGCTTTCAGAGTTTGACCAGGATGAGGAAGTGGTATCATGGCCTTTTCGTGAGCTGATAGGATCATTGATGTTGCTGGCGACGCAAACGAGGCCAGATATCGCGAATGCAGTAAGAGCGGTAGCACAGTATTGTGCTTCTCTCAAAGAAATTCATTGGAGAGCAGGTCGTGGTATTTTGGGGTACGTGGTAAGGACTAGTGACACGGGTATTACATTCAGGAGGGGCAGTGTAGCAGGGTTGAGCATGGAGGTGTTCGCAGACGCAGACTATGCAAGTAAGGCTGCCGATAAGAGGTCTGTGTCAGGAGGCTTGGTGATATGTTGGGGGGGATGTGTTTCTTGGTTTTCAAGGACGCAAAAGTGCGTTCCGTTGAGTACGACAGAGGCGGAGCACGTCTCCCTTGCGGATGTGATGAAGGAAGTGTTGTTTCTGAGGCAGGTATGGCGTTTGATGTTGCCAGAAGCAGGTATGCCGTTTATTCCGGTATTCGAGGATAACCAGGGGGCTATTCAGTTGGCGAAGAACCCGATTAGCAACAGTAACTCGGAGCACATCGACGTAAGGCACCACTTTATCAGGGAACTGGTAGGCAGGAAGGAGATTTCGATTTTTCACGTGGAATCGGCGTATCAACATGCTAACTTCCTCACGAGGCACTTCACGTCGGAGATTTTGAGTTTCATAGTAATTTCGTGATGAGTATGGGACAGGAACGGAAGATTTGGATATATTTTTGTTTGATCAAACAACTAGGGTGGCATTGTTTACATTTTTGCCTATTGTTTTCTCAATGAATGGTGTTCTTGTCTGGGGGGCTATTGGATCGCTATGATTATCGAAAAACTACAACTGGAATGATGGGGGATGGAAATCTATTTCTAGCCTAGAAGGCTATTGTTGCAGATTTGAGTTGTGTTTTGGAGTTTTTTTTCTTGTGTTTTGGAGTTCTGAAAGATCATGAAGACATGGCATAGTCACAACCAGGGGGGCTGATAGATATACTTGTAGCAATGCCACGTGGTTGGTACGGGATGTTCCCATGAAATGAGGTAGAGCGGAATACCGGGTGACATGTGTTATACGTAGAATGGATTCCAGAGATGTACAAGGTACCGCTGTTGTATAGGGCGTCGCCCCCTCAACGGGGCTTGTGTGTGCGTATGTGGATGCAACTAATCACGACAAGTTTTCTCCTCGGCGCGAGCCCGTCGAGTTGCCGATACCCTATTCAACACGTCTTGCGACAAGCTACCCCCAGTTCGGATTATTCTAACAGCATGGTGAAGGATTCGTGAGACAGACGGACTAAGCACGCCAACGAAAGCGCTCACTTTGTGACGTCCTTGAGGAAGAAGATGGACTCTTGGCACAAGGCCTTGCGGGAGAACTCGTCGAAGGCTGCGGACACGCTCGGCATGGCTTCCACCTGTCGGCTCGCACGCCAGCGCAAAAAGATAACACTACGAAGATAAGAGTAACTCTTAAGGGTGCCAAGCGCCAGAAGAAGTCATGAATTCTTCTTTCAAGCACGAGTTAGGTGCCACGCCCGGTTGACGAGGGGGGCGAGGGGGGCTGCTTTTTCATAACGCCATCTGTCCGCCTGTCCCAGCCCGAAACCTAACTTTAATCCTACCCCTATTTAAGTGCCTAATCAAAACCCAAAACTAAGGGTTTCTTTGACAAGGACCCGTGGAGCGCGTTTTTTTGGAGGTATGCCTTTTGAGATTACTGCATTTGTTTGTCCTTGACTTCTGCGGAGAAGGGGGACGGCGGAGGGCACTCCGGCACACGGTTGTATGTCGCTTGTGGTACCGGCGCACCTCGTGCTCTGAGAAGGGTTTCGAACTTCGCTATCGAGGAGTGAACGATAGTCTTCACTACAAGGCCATCTCCGCAGGTCAAAAAGTGGCGCAGTTGTTGTTCGTGCTCTTAGCTATCTCTCTCTCTCTCTCACACACAGACACATCTTCTCGTAGGTCCAAAGAGCAAGCGTGTTCACGCCGGAAAACTCAAAGTCAGCACTGCTTGTGCAGCAATGGGATGTCGTCGACTCAGGCCTGCACGTTAAAGGCAGGGAAGGGGGCGGGCACTCTTCATTAATGAACGTGGTGCCCGAGATCTTGGCATCTTAAAGTTCGGGACGAGGAATGTGTGAATGACGGTCGATGTTTTCACGCTGGTGGTCTACCTACATAAATACGCAACGTCTGCATAGTACTTCAGAGACGCCTCCCACCCGCAACTTACATCTATAAACGCCATTTCTTTGTTTGAGGTCCGACTCAACTCGAACGGTAGCATCATCCAAGGCCTGATACCCACAAAGGTTTTCCGGCAGTATTAATGAAACCACGCATCGATCGAATCAATCCCCGTGCGTTGGTTGCACACCGCGAAGCTTGGAAGAGGGGCGCGCCCGCCAAACGGCAGAGGGGTCCTAGTCTCTGACAACGTCTCGGAGCCGCCATTTGCGATCCACCAAAAGTCCGCAGATGATACATCTATTTCCCGAAACCTAGCCCTGCCCAGTGGCTACCTCTTCGGTGTACATGGCCGGACGGCGGGTCAACAAGGAACGACACGCCGAAAATCGCAACAGGGAAAGAAGGCAGCAAGCCACGGGCGGCGGCGACGACGAGTTGAAGGCAAGATTTCTGCAAGGCACTGGAAGTTCGTTGCTGCTTACCCGAGGTCGCCCTGTCTGCGCTTGGCCAGGGCCCTGGAGACCCGGGGGTCCGATGATTCGAGGGGGTCGAAGACAAGCTGCCGGATAGGCAGCCCCAGACTGAGTGGTATGATGGTCACGGGAGACGCAGGGGTATAAAGCCAAGCAGGGTTGAATGAGCATCGAATGATCCATCGAGCGGCGACTTGGGGTGAAATCGTTGTGGTCAAGACACAGGGATGGCAAACCCTGGGTGGGGGTGTACCTCGAACGTTCGTGGCCTAACAGGTTGACGGACTCCAGCATTAGCTTTCATGAACAACTCGATGAACGCTGACTGGAAGTCCAGCGGTACTCGTGATTTTCAAAATGGTCAAGTTTAGTATTGACAGGGGTTGAAGGGCAAAAGGGGGGAGGGGGCAGGAGGCGTACTCTTAAAGTTTTGCATGCCTTAGCGGTTAGACCATTGATCACGCGTCCTCGAGAGGACGGAGAATTGTTCCCACAGGATCGATCACCGATGGCCAATCGTTCCTTCCTACTTTGCCGAGGGTGGCTCAAAAATGTCTTTCCTATATCATCCATCCTACCGATATCACCTCCCGCCTTTTCAACCCACTCCCTATGCCCCAGTACAGCTAACGTCTTCTCCTGGCTATCCCATGCCTCAAACATCTCCCTGTACTATTTTCTGCTTTTTCAAGCTCATCAATGTACCCTTCCCCCTGNGTTCCCACAGGATCGATCACCGATGGCCAATCGTTCCTTCCTACTTTGCCGAGGGTGGCTCAAAAATGTCTTTCCTATATCATCCATCCTACCGATATCACCTCCCGCCTTTTCAACCCACTCCCTATGCCCCAGTACAGCTAACGTCTTCTCCTGGCTATCCCATGCCTCAAACATCTCCCTGTACTATTTTCTGCTTTTTCAAGCTCATCAATGTACCCTTCCCCCTGCTTCTTGTACAGCCGACATTCCGCGACTACATGAACACGGTCTTCGCACTCGGAGCCGCAATCACATTTGAAATTGGCGTCTTCATCGTCTGCCTTCCCATATCTTCGTCTACGTTCTCGAATGTCAATGTCCCCGGTCCTGAATTCGACCTTCAGCTTTGTCCCTGTATCCACGGGTCCATGTAGGTACTCCTTGAATCCTATTCTTTTTTTCAACATTCTGTACACTTCTATTCCCTCCTTATCCTTCGTTACGTTTCTTATGTTCTGTTCTTCTCTCTCGGTAAAAGCAACATGTCTTCTCCATGAGCCCTTTGGACCGTCCGTATCCAGCGCATCGCCTTCGTCAATTTTGAACCCCTTCCACCTGTCACCTACAACCCTGACCCACTCCGTAGGTTATCTACCCCTCTTCTTGTTTGCTCAATCCGGCTTTCAAGCTATTCTCCGTAACCTCTCCTTTCCCACACGGCACATACATGCGATACTGCCATGTCAGCGTCCTTGCGTCTCTTCCCGATCTTAGGGATCGGATCCCCGGTTCTGCCCTCACGGCTGCATTACCTGTGAGCGGAGCATCCAAGGATAATTTCGCTGCTTTCATCTGCGCCGCCTCAAGCTCTGTTGACTACCCTCTTATTTCCTTCCCATCCTTCTCCAGCGTCCTCTAGCGGTGGTGCGATATCCTCTTCAAAACCATCAACTTGATGCGTGTATCGAGGTGGGGGCGACCAAAGGTGTGGTCTTAGGGATTCCCCAGCGAGGCCGCAGAGCTACCGGGGGGTTGCGACTGTATGCAGCTGGAGGGAAATGCTTCATTACCGGAGGTGGTGGTGGTATGGCGGAACACACAGGCGCACACATATCCCAGGCGATGCTGTCATGGCTACAGGTATCCGCCTAATGACGTACGGCGGACCTACACTGCTTTGACAAATGGAATAAGCTTGCATAAAAAATCGAAGTTTACTTCCATGGAAGTGGTCTACTGCTTCCATGGATTACATGTAAGTCATATTGACTTACATGAAATCTGTTCGTCTGTTTCGGGTTCCAGCTTTCCTAATTCTCCCATGGAAGTTGATCCGCTTCCATGGAAGCACCCGATATCAACCGCTCGTTGCTTCTATGGAGATTGTATTTCGGACTTCCACAGAAGCACGACGAGCTTCCATGGCAGTACTACCTTCATGGAAGCTCGACGCTTGACAGATTCTCTTCTACTTTCACGGAAGCACGAAAACTCCCATGAAAGCAGCTTCCATGGAAGTGGGTGACGAAGGTCGAACCCGACTTCGGTGGAATAACCCAAAAATCCATGAAAACAACTTCCACCGAAGCGGCTGGACATGTGGTCATTCCAGCTTCCCTACCCTAACCCTACCCCTAACCTTAACCCCGGTAAGACCGTGGAAGCTAACCCGAGGCTGGATACTTCCATGGAAGCAGCCCTAAACCTGCTTTGAATAGCTTCCGTGGACTAAGGTTAGACTTCCATGGAAGCTATTCCACTTCCATGAGGTTTCCATGAGACTCTCGTGGAAGTTGATTTCCATGGAAGCGGCACATCCATATTCATATCTTTAGTTCCATGTAAGTGAACATCGCTTCCACGGAAGTGTCATCTCGTGTTTCTATGGAAGTGCGAAACGTGTAGCTTCCATGGAGTTGGTACGATCTTCCATGGAGGAAGTAGATCCAACGTCCATGGAAGCTGATTTATACTTCCATGGAAGCGCTACATATTTGTCAAAGAGTCTGGGAAATCGCACGGCGGCCACTTCTTCGTCTGGAACACCCATTGACGCGGCCGAATGATGTGAAGCACCGCCTCATAGCACCTCGGTACAAGCTCTGTCTGTCTGTCTGTCTGTCTGTCTGTCTGTCTGTCTGTCTCTCTCTCTCTCTCTCTCTCTCTCTGTCTCTCTCTCTGTCTCTCTCTCTGTCTCTCTCTCACACACACACACATGCTGCCCCCTCACGGGGTCCCAGTTCATGGCAGATACAAGTGTTTTGTGTTTTCAACCGCACTAAGACTGACGTCTATTCATTGGTCAGCCGGTTAGCGCGGTCGATGCTAAAAATATAATCACACACACACTCCCTCACTCTCGAGACTCACTATTCTGTATCGTTGTCTCCCTTTCTTCTTCTCTTTGTCGCTTCATATTTCTTTAGTACTTTTTCACCTCAAGAAATTCATGACGGTCGCCGAGATGAAGCCCACGATTCTCGTGTTGAACCAACGGGCGATATCCTCGCTAGAATGGTTGTCCCCGAAACGCCCGATGACTGCCAGAAGATGCGGGTGGGGGGTATGGTGTGTTGTATGATTACGAGACGAACAAGGGAAAGCTACGAGAGAGGGCTGCGACAGTAGCAAGTGCCACGGACAGGAGACCTGCCGCATGGGCCTGTTGGGGCAAATCGCTCGGATTTTGTTGAGAGACCGTCATGTTTTTTAGTCTTGGGGGACTTCCCACAGTGGAAAAGTTGTGCCTCCGCCGAAGGGCAAAATCTTCAACAAGACCAAGTTGGAGAAAAACCCGCGCTCTCAAGCGGTCATGGCTAGGCATACGAGGTACTTTGGTGCATATGAAATCACGAGAGTCTCACGTTCTTCCTCTATTAGCCTTCGATTCTTGGCATCCTTGACTCCTTACCAACATATGCATAGGATTGATCAATTAAGATAAAAAATCATGCACTCCTCTCGAACGGCGAGAGAAGGAGACAAGTTCGTTGCTGTCCGAACAAAAAAACGCTGGACAGGGAACAATGCATCCGAATGACATGTGCATCGAAACGCCTGCCGTCTTCCTGGAGCAAAAAAGTGGCGTCCAAACGTCAAGATCTGTCGCATGGAACCTTGGTCGTAACACCGTTTATGCCGCGCCGGGTTACTACAGTATTCCCAGCAGAGGAGTGAATTTCGCGTACCACTTTAGTCTGAATACGGAAACGTACACGTGCCCTGATTTCACGCCCCTAGCACGTAGCGCGCACGTCAAAAATGCCTTTGTGCTCTTTCTGGTGAGTGAAGTGCAACAACAACAACAGCAACAACAACAGCAACAGCAACAACAACAACAAC